GATGCTTGACTCTATTATGCGGCATGACCCGCACACCGCGCGCCCATGTTCGAAGGCGTGTTTGCAGCAGATACTTTGCCCCGCCGTCTTCGCCCTAAACCAGCACTTATTATTGTTAATACAGACCCATTTCGAAGCGAGGGGCGCACTGGTAGGCGATTCAGAGTGGAACAGTGGAACAACATGGAAACGGTTTTTTTTTTTTTTTTTTTTTTTTCCCCTATGGGATTGCACCTTTTATTCAGCACCATCGCAAGTTTCCTGGTCGTGTCGGTAAGATATGGCATTACAACCCTGTAGCTCTTTAAGCAATTGACTAGACCGTATGTGGTCACTTGTGTGTTGTATCTGATTCATAAGGCACACGGGTATAGCTTAAGTAATTTTGTTAATATGTACTTCGACCACAATTCAGGAAAGATAAGAATGATGCTATCGTCAAATACGATCGATACACTCACGAACATACATTCTGTCAAGACTTTATTGTAGATGAAACAAGCAGATTTGTTCAAACAGAAGAAAATAAAAACCAATAAAACAGTAACGCCTGATTTTATTCTTGTTTGTATTTATTTCTCATCCCTCCCTGCAGGAAAGCAGCCAGTGTGACAAGGGGATTTGTCAAATATTTTTAGTAGAAGACGTAAATGTTGTCAGTTTGCCACGTCGACACATGTTTTGCCATAAATGTGTGCAATCCCTTAAACAGTGTGGTTTGTGTCGTCAGGAAATTAGGTACACAATTCGGGTGTTTCCTATAAAAGCAACCCCGTCCACACAAGCGAGCTGACATTCTACTTTCATGAAATTTGTGTAATAAACGACTTAAAAAGGCTTGTGAATGCTAGAAACACAGATGTTATTATTCATTCCAACCCCCTCGCCCGATAAAAAAGAAATATCCTATGACGGTGTAGTACACTGTTAGAAGGCGAAAGGCTGGAAGTCGTGCTGAAATATGACACCACTACACTCCCATAAACACTCTGTGTGTAGTCCCCCTGCCCCTCTCCCCACTCGCGGCGGGGCATGCTGACTCATCGGTTATTTGACGCGTGCGCCTGGGAGGTAGGCACACCCGCAACCCACAACCCGCAACCAGGGGTATTCCTTACTACTGCTGATTTTTCAGCATACAATGTACACTGTTGAGGTTTCAGAGTGACTGAAATTTAACAGAGGCTTAACAAAATGTCTGCATGCAGAGACAAAACAAATGTGCCCCCCCAAAGAAAGAACACCATAATTTGACTCTATATTTTAAGGCGCGCGAAGCTGCAAAGGAATAAGTCAAGTAACTAATATTTCCTCTCGTTGTAAATGGATCTTCCTCTTTTCCGCTTACGTATCGGCTAATAAATGGGAAACAGTCCCATAACATCGCATCGAGTCGATACCACAACTCGCCTCGCTACGCCGCGCAACGCCATGGTGTGGCTTCACCGGAAGGTCGTGTCCGCGTTATTGAAGGAGGAGGAGAGAGAGGGAGAGAGAGAGAGAGAGAAAGAGAGAGAGGGAGAGAGAGAGAGAGACAGAGGGAGAGGGAGAGGGAGAGGGAGAGG